ACTCATACAACTAACAAAATTAGCACTAGAACTGAGCCAAAAAAAAAAAAAAAAAAAAACCTTCTCAAATTTACAAAATTACTTTTTTTTCATTAATAAATTAATAAATTTGTTTTCCGGGACTAAGGAGGTGCTTATGCTGCTGAGCTCTATCCTTGGCCCTCATTGTTTTCTTTGAAGTAACTATCTTATTTCCTTTACTTTTGTAAAAATGGTTGCCAAACAGCCAAATCTGAATAATCGCAGTGTGTCATCCATTCTCTGTAACAAAAATAGTGTTAATTAAAAAAGGGCTGGAGGGACTGCGGAGATAGCTAGGCAGTCTAAGCGCCTGCCTGGCAAGTGCAAAGACCCAGGTTTGTTTGTTGTTGTTGGTTTTTTTTTTTTTGGTTTTTGTGGAACCGGGGATCAAACTCAGGCCCTTGCACTTGCCAGGCAAGCGAATTTGTTTGTTTTTTGTTTATTTTTTTGGCGGAACCGGGGATTGAACTCAGACCCTTGCGCTTGCCAGGCAAATGCTTATTCTACTGAGCCATCTCCCTGGCCCCAAGGACCAGGTTTGATCCCAAGTACCGCATGCCATGTTGACCCCACACCAAGCCAGCCATAGGGGTGACAGGTGTGATGACACATGCCTGCAATCCCAGCACTGGGCAGGCTGAGACAGGAGGATCACTACCAGTCTGAGCTGCATAGCGAGACCCTGTGCCAAATAAAGAAATGGATAGATATATTAGATAGATAGATAGATAGATAGAGATTAATTTTTTTTAAAAAAGAATGGAAAAGGTAGGAAGCCATAAGACAACCAACATTGACAAGTTCTAGCTTACACACTGTGTACTAAACAATCACATATAGGGACAAAATTTTTTTTTCCTTTTTGACACAGGGTCTCACTATACAGTTCAGGCTGGCCTCAACCTCACTTTCTAGCCCAGGCCAGTCTCAAACTCACAACGATCCTTCTGCTTAGCCTCCTGAATGCTGGGATTACAGGCATGTGCCACCATACCTGGCCTGGGGAAAAATATTGAGGCAGAATACATTGATTACCAAATTAAAAGAGTGTCGGGCCGGGGAGATGACTCAGTAGAGGGCCGGAGAGATGGCTCAGGAGAATAAGTCTTCCCTGGCAAGGGCCTGAGTTCAGTCCCTAGTTCGGCCAAAAAAAAAGCTTATCCTGGAGATGACTCAGTAGAATAAGCGCTTGCCTGGCAAACACAAGAGCCTGAGTTCAATCCCCAGTCCTGCTAAATTAATTAATTAATTAATTAATTTCATACCAGTACCAAACAAAGAATGACTGGATATTATACAGAGGGTTCATATAAAAAATGTCTACAGGCTGGTAACAAAAAGATCAAAGAAAATCAGGACAAGATTAGAAAGGGTAACTCACAAATATGGGAAGAGAAAGCTAAAAAAACAGGAATCTTTAATAATCAGGAAAATAGAAATTATATTTTAAAACAAGATACCATTCTATACTGATGACTTTTTTTTTTTTTTTTTTTGGGCAGAACCAGGGATTGAACTCAGGCCCCTGTGCTTGCCAGAGAAGCGCTTATTCCACTGAGCCATCTCCCCTGCACCTACTGATGACATTTTAGCAGAGTGATGATTCCACATTCAGTGAGATGAAGAGTATTGTGAACTCTCATACATTTCTGTTCAGAATATTAAGTGCTACCGCTTTGGAAAGCCATCAGAAAATATATAGCACAAGTGAAAGTGATCAAACCTGATGACCTAAGTAAGTAAATTCTCATGTGTACTCAGGATACTGTATGTACAAATGTTCCTGCAACTCTGAAATAGAAAACAGTGCCAATAAATAAATAAGCAAACAGTGACTTCAGCTCACAACTCAAAAAGGTACATACGTTTCCTTCAGTAAATCATTTTTCCTCAGTGTACAACAAATATATGCTATCTACGTATATAATACTTCTCTTCCATCCCACAGAACAGTCCAAAGTAGTAACAACAATCTACATTTTTACCATCCGCATGGTCTGTGGGCTGTATTTGGGTGCTAGCTGAAGGTCAGTATGTCATTTCCTCCCTAGGTAACACTGTTTCCGTGCTCCTCAGCACTACATACTCACTGATTGTGTCTGTCTAGTTGTGTCTGTCTAGTTGTACCCCTCAAAGCCTCATGCAACCATGGGACAGACTTCTAGTCCTATTTTTTTAAATATATTTTAGTACCCCAGGGGCAGTGCCAGCATGGAACACAGAGCCAGCAATTCGAACCCCAGGTCCCTGCATTTGGGAGCTTGCAAAAGCTCTCTGGCCAGCCCTGAGGGGCCAACTTGTAGAGTTTGTGATTAACTCATGATCCACTAGGATTATGGGTGTGAGTGTAACACCTAGCCTGGACAGATCGCCTGAATGCAATTTAAGGAAGACAGACTTGCTCTCTATAGCCACTGTTGCCACCACTCCCTTTGCTCTCTCTACTTTTTGCCACTGCCATGAAAGGTTGTTCTGTGCCATGTGCCACTCTGCCTTGGTGCCAGCTGAGTATGAACTGAAACCTCCTCTAACTGTAAGCTAAATAAACTTTTCCTTCCTTCATTTGGGCATTGGGTATTTGTCCCAGTAATGAGAGAAGAGTAACTGTGACACTTGTCTATAGGTCCATTCACACGCAAATCTCAATCCTGCAATTCCAGTACTGTCAAAGGGAAGGAACTGTACAAATTTCAAAGCATTTCTCTTAGATCTCATTTAATCAGTTTCATGGCTCTGATTAACAACTGCCTTTAAGGGCCAAGCATAAGAGAAACAATGTTCACACTTGGGTAGTAGTTGTAAATTAACACATGTAAAGAAACCCAAACAAATTTCAAATCTCAGTTCTGTGTTTTAGCAACAATGCAAGTTTGAGCTAACTTTTTAGTTTGTTGATCTCATTTTCTAGAAAATGCTTTTATTCATAGGTTTCTTGAAACAATTTCACAAGGAGTATGTGGAAAATTACATTGTTGACTTTAAAACACAAAATAAATATTAGTAAGAATTGTACACTGGACTAAAGACACACAATATTGAAATGTTTGAGGTTGTCTCTGACTTGCTAAACTTTAATTATGACTTTAATTCACATATTGAAAAGTCCTTGGGGCTGGTGAGATGGCTCAGTGGTCTAAAGCACCTACTTAGAACAAGCTTGGCAAAGCACAGGGACCGCGGTTCAATCCCCAGCACCACATGCCAGCCAGCCCCGCCCCTGGTGGGCGGAGCTGGCCACACACACACACACACACCACACACAATAAATAAATAAATTTAAAATAAAAAGAAAAAAAAGAAAAGTCCTTGATAACACAAATAGCCTTTGAATTTTAATTTTATAAGCAGGAAACATACTACTCATATAGTTATCTTTCATGTTAGCAAAATACAAATGTCATTACAGTTTTGGGAAGCAGTGTCATGCACACTTTTTTTCTTTTTACATTTATTTATTTATTTATTTATTTATTGTGTGTGTGTGTGTGTGTGTGTGTGTGTGTGTGGCCAGCTCAGCCCACCAGGGGGCGGGGCTGGCTGGCATGTGGTGCTGGGGGATTGAACCGTGGTCCCTGTGCTTTGCTAAGCTTGTTCCAAGTAGGTGCTTTAGACCACTGAGCCATCTCGCCAGCCCCAACTGAGCTAGGGCTGGGCCCCCGTCATGCACACTTAAAGAGAGAGAACTTTTAACAGGTTAAAGATGACATAATGGGGCCTCTACTTAAAAGTAGATTACATACAGATGTTGGATTATAATCTCATCATCAAGAAAAGAGCAGGTTGGGAGGCAGACAAAAAGCATTGTATGTAGGCAAAATAGGACATTATAATGGAGCAGTCCCTAGTCAGAGCCAATGTAGAGACATTTATGCTCTGTAACACGGTCATATTTAATGCACAGAAATTACAAAGACAATAAGACCACTGGTACTATTAAATACACTGCTCACAATGTATTCTTGCCTTATGGACCCAACTACATTGTACCCATAGAGTAGGCTATGATCTCTTCAGGTTTTATTCCAAGTGAAAATATTCTACAAACACATGTAAAGTTTCCAACTAAGTAAACACCGAGAGTAGAATGTAATGGTTAGGTGCACTGCTCTTGTGCCTGGCTGGAATTCTTTTGTTTTGCTTTTTGGACAGAGTCTCACTATGCAGTTCAGGATGTCCTTAAACTCACTATCTAGCCCACACTGGCCCTAGAATTCATGGGAATCCTCCTGCCTCAGCCTCCCAAGTATTAAGACTACAGGCATGCACATCAAACCCACCTAAAAATTCTTAACAACAAACAAAAACCTAGCAGATTAAAAAAAAAGAGCTATGGGGCCAGGGATATAGCTCAGTGGTATAGTGCCTGTCTAGCAAGCACAAAGTCCTGAGTTTGATTTCCAGTACCTGCCCACAAAAAAACCAAAACCAAAAATAAAAAAGATAAACTACTTGCTTTTTAATCTCATTATGTTAGTGACTGCCTTGAAACCATGCACAATATACTTTTGTTGGAAGGGCCAAGGATATAGCTTAATGGCATAAGCGCCTGCCAGGCAACCACAAGGTCCTGAGCTCAATTCCTGGTACCAAAAAAAAAAAAAAGAGTGGATTATACTTCTGTTGGAATCTTTGCTATTCTCATTCTCCCAGAAGAAATGCAAAAATTCAACAATATATGACATAAATGAAATATACAGAAATGAGTAGAATGAACAGAATACAAGTATCTAAAGTGAAATATAAGTCAATTAGATTCCAGGAGCCTACATGGGACAAGGATCTCAATAAAAGGAGCTGTAGACAAGTAATCCATGAATATTCATTTTCAAATACTCCCTAACTGCCCCAAGTAGCTGTCTGTCATCTCTTTCTCCTTTTCCTCACCTTAAAATAAATCATCTTTCATTAAAAAATATATCTCACTAATCAGAATTACTATATCTTGTATCTCCCACCACTACCAAATACCCTCACCATTCCATAAAATAATTCAGCATTCTATTAACTGCACTAGTGTAATTTCAACAAACCCCATAAATAATTTGACCACTTTTACTCACTACACTAGTAAACCAGCAGTCATTAGTATTACAAAGCCTAAGGCAATTTAACCATTAAGTAGATTATCTGCTATGACTATTTTAATTTTGTAGCAGAAGTAGAAGCAAAACCTGTAGGAAGTACAGAACCTCTAAATCCTTTATGAAATATTACCTGTCCATGTATGTCCCCACACACTGTCACTGGTGTTGACACTGGCTGAACGTTCGATTCCTCCAAGAGAAGATCACAAACATAGTCACATAGCCGCT